CTGGGCATGGTGGTGCGTGCCTGTAGTCCCAGCTACTCAGGAGGCTGAGGCAGGAGGACCACTTGAACACAGGAGTTTGAGGTTACAGTGAGCTAGGCTGACGCCATGGCACTGTAGCCCAGGCAACAGAGTGAGACTCTGTCTCAAAAAAAAAAAAAAAAAAAAAAAAAAGAAAGACAAAAAATAAATGCTGGCAAGTATGGGGAGAAAAGGGAACTCTTATACATTGTTGGTAGGAATGTAAATTTGTACAGCCATTATGGAAAACAGTATGGACGTTCCTCAAAAAATTAAAAATAGAACTATCATATGATCCAGCAATCCCATTACTAGGTATATATCCAAAGACTAATTCTAAATATGGTTTGGTAAACATGAAAGAAAGATCCTCATTAGTGGACTAATGGGCAGAAAAAGGGGGAACACATGGCTGGGAGCCAGATTTTCTGATTTGGTCCTGGATTTTGTCACTGACTAATTTGAGAAGTGGCCTGTTTAAGAAATGTTAGACCATAAGCTCTTTCCATTTTTCCGTGGCTTCTCTTATCATATCTTGAACTTTAGAGTCAGACAGACCTAGACCAAATCAGTATTCTACCATTTACTGCCTATATGAACTTGGGCAAGTTACTTAATCTCTGTGAGCCTCATTTTCTTCATCTATAAGAAAAGATAATATCAACACCTTTGCTACTCAATATATGGTCCACAGACCAACGGCATTATTGGCATTTCCTGGAAGCTTTTTAGAAACGCATAATTTCAAACCGCATCCCAGACTTGCAAAATCAGAATTTGCATTTTTAACAAGATCCCCAGGTGATACACATGTCTGTTAAAATGTGACAACCACCAATCTACTTCATAAGAATCTTGTAAGTATTCAATAAGATAATGTATATGAAAGAAAGACCCTGAACACGAGGTACTTAATAAATAATAGTTTTCTTTATATCAAAAGACCAAGAAGATTTTTTTTTTTTTTTTGGGACAGAGTCCCACTCTGTCACCCTGGCTAGAGTGCCAGTGGCATTGTCATAACTCACCGCAACTTCAAACTCCTGGGCTCAAGTGATCCTCCTCCCTCAACCTTCCGAGTAGCTGGGACTACAAAGCATGCACCACCATGCCTAGCTATTTTTTTTTCTATTTTTAGTAGAGACGGGGTCTCGCCATTGCTCAGGCTGGTCTCGAACTCCCGACCTCAAGCGATCCTCCCACCTCGGCCTCCCAAAGTGCTAGGATTACAGGCATGAGCTACTGTGCCTGGCCTTGTATGTGTTCTTTTGAGAAGAAGACAAGAAGATCTTAATTGGAGAGGAAAGCAGAACTGGGAGACTGAGGTTTTCCTAAATACAGACATCCTGGGTCATGGTCACATTCCTGCCAGAATTTTCTTGGGTTCGTGCCTGTAATCCCAGCACTTCGGGATGAGGGGAGCCAGGAGTTTGAGACCAGCCTGGGCAACACAGCAAGACCCCACCTCCACAATAAAATTAAAAAATTAGCTGGGCATGGTGGTACATGCCTGTAGTCCCAGCTACTTGGGAGGCTGAGGTGGGAGGATTGCTTGAGCCCAGGAGTTCTAGGTTACAGTGAGGTATGAGCACACCACTGCAGGTCAGCCTGGGTGATAAAGCAAGACCTTGTCTCTAAAAAAAGAAAAAGTACTTAAGAACTTTCAGGAGTCCTGGTAAAAGAAATGAAGAAGCTAGGAATGGTGAGAAGGAAATTACCTATTAGCACTCAATTCTATTCCCAGATCTACTAATAAGTCATATAAACTTGGTGAAGTCACTTATTCTCTTGGGTCTAGGTTTTATCTAAAAGAAGGGGTTATATGAGGTGATTTCTAAGATTTTTTTCTATGTCTAAGATTCAATGATGTTATCATTGATTGTAATCAATTTCTAACTTTTGGATCTTTGAAAATTGAGGAACTATTCCTTGGTTCTTCAAGAAAACTATCTATCACTCTTCCCTACAACCAGAGATTTTTGT